TTTTCTATCACTCCTATAAAAAATTCTCTCTACTTGCGGGACACCCTTTATAGTTTTGGAATAGATAATAAATAATGCAATATCCGAACAATCCTATGTTTACTATACAAACTACAAGATATGTATCAGAAACAATCAATTTGTACCTAACGAAAATATATTTATAATTAGTTGACCCGTGTTAATATTTCGCACAGTATATTGTTCAGTGATTCGAAGACAAAGTAACAATAAAATAAAATAATACAACGTATCATAAGTTATAGACAACAATTGTCACTAATTATACTCGACAAAGGAAACAAAAATTAATTTTAAACTCCATTAATGTTTGGCAGCAACTTGTTTACAAATTTCAATAAGCTGTATCTTTGCTAAGAATTGTCCGATTTCGATGATTTTTTGTTTTCCTTTTGTAGGAAATTTAGAACCCTTTTAAATAATTTAAGTGAGATATAACTAAGAAATAAGTGTGTATTTTTTTTTGGTTATTCGCAAATAAAATTTATTTTCTTTCAACCTGTTTGCCTGCGTTTACGGGAGATTTATCCTACCTTAAGGATACCTTCAAAATGGATGGCTCAATTTTGAGATTAGGTGAAGAATTAACGAAGATATGGCTTACCGAAAAATAAAGCGCTAATAAATAATATAAACTCCTCCTCTCTCGTTCATAGGGATCTCAAGTCGACGAAATGAGACATGTATCCCATGACAGCACTACAATTAACGTGCGGTTGTGTGGATGCGAAATCTTTGCCTTGCATTATCTCGAAAATTGTTTTTTGCATTGAATACGCAGAAGCCGATAGTTCCAAAGGAAATATCTAGGTCTTGGTTTGGTTTAGTGCAGGTCTTAGACATTTAGCGCCCTCGGATAATGCCGTCACCCTCCCCCTCCGCCTTAAAAAAATTATATTTATTTCTTATATTATTTTAAATTATGTAATATTTAAATTTTATCTCATTCAATCAATATTTCTCTAATACAGCTGCTTTATAGATAAGCTAAAATTAATTATTTTAATGCATTTGTAGTTTTTATTAATCTCTAACAATTGGCAAACGCCTCTGAAGATCTTTCGGCGCCCCGGGGTGATTGCCCTGGTTGCCCGGCCCTAAGGCCACCACTAGTTTAGTGTACGCATCAAAATATTCAAAACGAAATTTGTCCCGTATCGATATACAGACTTACCACCGTTCCAGTATCGAAGTCTAGCAAAATGTTTATACCGACTTTATTTATTTTAGATAGAAAATCAAAAGCGGGGAGTACGATTCGCTCACCCTCCGTGAAATTCGGAATATAATGGTACCCCATTCATGGTATTTGAGCTTGACAGTAGCTTATATTTGGTACAAAACCGATTTCGAGTCTTATTGTAACAATACACTCGTATGTGTGGAATTTTTATATTCGTATGAGATATTTATATTTAAAATAATTATTTTGCATGAAGTAATTATTATGAATATAAATTGTGTAGTTAGAGACGCATTGACGACAAATATTTTGTTTGTAGAATATATCTTTTTCAAATATGAGAAGCGAACTGTTTATCACAATTCAAAATATAATATTGCTAGTATTTGAATAAACGTAATATTTTAATTGTGATGGTCAAAGAAATAGTTGAATTTATATTATCAGTAGGCAGGTTTTACTTTTCTGGTTTTAATGAGTCTATGATCGATAATAGGTGAGAAATATAAAAAAATATACTAATAAATACCGGTCCTGTCATGTAAGGTTTTTGAACTGAACAGTTCGTCTAAATGTACAATATCACAGGAAGTGAGGATCTGAGAGTGAGTTAGAAATCAATTTGATGAAATCCCTAAAAAAAAAATTATTTTGTAATTTATTTTATATATAATTATTGTGTACTAGAAGATTATAGTGCTGCAGCAGTGTGCATCATCCTATTGTGAATGTAATATTTCATAAGCACTTATTACTCATTACTCTTAAACTATAAAATTAGTGCATAGTGCTTATAAAATTGAATTGATTATATATATATATATATATATATTTCATGTCGTCCAAATGGCCCGTGTTCAAATTCAATACCCCCAATCTAGAGGTGGATCTACAGGGGCTGAAGCCCTCCTAAAATAGTAAAATATAATAATTTCTTATGAAAAAAATGTTAACATTATGTATTATTATTCTTTTAATTGCATTTATTAGGTCTTAGAATCACATAAACACCATTTCATATAGATAATTAGGATCATTCTTCTTCCAAAGTAATAATCGATATATAAATCTTTCGGGCTGAAGCCTTCTCCCAAAATTAAATCCTGGATCCGCTAGTGCCTCAAACATATAAACAGACAAAATATGAGGCGTGGACTGAATTTTCCGATGTATAAGGAACATAGAAGCTCGCCCCATTTAGCGACAGTCATATTGGTGTAAATCGCAACGGTTTCATGCTAATTAACTATTACAAACTATGCCAACTACGAATATTTATTTGTAAGTTTATTTCTTCAACGCTCAAGAGGAGTTGGATGAGCGACCGGACCATCTAGTTTAGCAATATCATTCTACTAATATCAAAAGGAAACCTCATCAACATAAAATGTAGTTAGGTACTAATTTTAATGATTTTTACTGGTGAAAATAGATGAAGATAAAACTTCAAATAAATCTAATTACAAATAATAGTAAGTTACCCATGTGGCAGTAACCGAGTCCTTTAATTTTGGGAATGGTATTAGACAGAGATGTCAGACTCAGGGGCTGCGATACATAACTATTTTTACTTACCTTTACTGGTGCGATATCATCAAGCAGACTTCCGAAAGAGTATGATCTGATTTATAAAAGTTCATGTTCAGTTCAAATCAAACTGAGAGTACTTTTTTCAAAATCCAAAAGCCCGTCGCAAAAAAGGTGTCATTTCATAGAATAGAAAATTGAACTTTTGTGGATTGATGGCTCACTGTAGTAAATAATTGAAGAGAATGATGGTTGGGGTGATCAGTCAAAATAAGAAATAGCAAAAATAAATAATAATATTTATTTTTACATTTGCCGACGTATCGGCCCGAAGTTCAGGGCTGAGAAAAGAACCAGATAACAATAGGTATGAGAAACTACAAACATTGAATAATAAAGAATGAAAATAAAAAAGTGAAAGGTATAGTCTAAAAAAATGTTGTATATAGGTATGTATGTGTTCTTTTTATTTATTTATTTTTAGGTTATTTTTTTCTTATTTATTGTATATATGTTATTTTTCTGTATAATTTATTTTATTTACTGTACATAGAGAGTGAATGTGATCTGTGAACACTATTATAAATGTCCTTGAGACAGATTGTAATATTTTTCAATAAAAAAAAAAAAAAAAATGTAGGTAACATAAAAACTTAAAGTAAAATGAAGTAGATAAAGTGAACATTAAAGTAGGTAGAATAATAACAGAGATCTAATAAATAAATAATAATGTCGGCAACAGTGTACGGACTAATGAAATAAACATAGTCAAAAAAAGGTAACATAAGAAATAAAAAAAAAAGATGGCCCCGTGATCTCCTAATGTAGACATATCATTAGAGTGCTACCATTGGCTAGTTTCTCAACAAGTATTTTCACGTCATTATATCCATATGTTCAAATTTACTAAATGTATTTCTTTAATAGAGTTGTAACAAAAAAATAAAATAAATAAATAAAAATAAAATAAAAAATTGACAGAAATTTGATTAAGTGATTTAACGATAGATACACTTCAACCGGAAAAATGTTTAAAGGCCACCGATCAAAATTGCGGTTTTTATCAATTTATGAAGTATTTATTCATATATCGTCATTGCATTTCTATAGGATTAAGAAATAGAGCTATAATAGTAGCGCTATTAGGCTTTCAGGGTCTAGATTAGTATTTAACAATACCAAACAATATTGCTTTTAGAGAAGCACAAATGTAAGTTAAAATATAGTATATAGTACATTTTACTTATTTAAGTGCTACTTATATGTGTATACTACATACTAGTCATACAAGAATACGTAAATATTGGGTAATAATAAAGATTTATAAATAAGATTTATATATTTATATTAATAAAGGTTTCGAGCAGTAAAATAACGAAAAATACGAAATTTAAGTTTTTTTTTTTTTTAATAATCACGGAATAAAATTATAATTGTTCTTACTTTTGAAGTGTTGAAGATAAGATAGTAAAATAATATATATTCTTGACAAAACTGTAATGTTCAACAACTTTCTTCCCCCATGACGTTTTGATGAATGAATAAAAAATTGAAAATGAATAAAAAGAATCTGGTATGTCCACTCACACGACTTTCCTATCTATTTCAGAAAAGTTTTTATATCTTTAAATATGTATATTAAGATTAAAAAAAAAAAAAAAATTAAATTTATTTTCCTCAAAATTGATCAAAGAAAAGATTTAAGTACGATTTCTTAGATAAACTAAAGCAATGTAAACCGGCTTGTGGAAGATCTGTGTAAGAAATTCAATTACCGTAGAATACATACTTATATAGGGAAGTTTAATCAAAATCGTTAGTGCCGTTTTAGCGCTACAGTCTAGAGAAAAATATGTTTTTCACTTATTGCGCAGCCGCTATTGCGCATGGAGCTCCCGATTTGTGTCACAGGCTTCAGTAGTCAATACAGGATAAAAAAGAAGGAGCAAAATCGGTCCACTAGTTTGAGAGATGATTTTGACACAGACAGAGAGACCAGAGGGCTCTTTCGGACTCAGAGGGCTCTGAAACTTATAGATCCGTTGAAAACCGCATGTTGGAAATTTGACCCGATTCCTTACTATAGGTAGGAAAATAAAAAGAGTTGGATAGTAAATCGACAATGAAAACGTGAGGCCATAATTTGTTTTGTTTTTAAATTGGCGATTATTGAGGGTCCACTTACCGAACTATTTCCCCCCACCAGTAGTAGTACCATTAACAGTATATCCATAAATAAAGTTTATACATATTATATGATCTGTTTTAGTTTTGTGGAAACACAATAGCTGGTGCGAGTTTACTCAGCGATTCTGTCATGAGATTTTGTAATGATAAGAATCAGTTTACGTTTTCTGCATTACTGAAGAGGCGATCATTGTATATTATGAGGTATGGCCATACTTATGCGTTTTATTTTATTATTAAATATATTTTTTATTTTATTATTATTATTTCTAGGGGACCGATTAGGTATGATTTTAGTCATGAGATTTTGTCAAACGACGTCAGCAGTTTTCAAGGAAATAAAATTGTAAAAACAAGAAGAGTTTCAGTGATATGTCGAAGTCGTCCGGAACCAACAACCGAAGAAAACCCGCAATGATTTGCATTACTAGGCCGCTTCGTATATATGTATATACACATTTACATATATAGATTTATTTGTTAACGTTTATCTAGTATTAATACTGAGTATAGTATTTGACAAAATTTATTGTGATTTCTTGATGTATATTTTTATATTGTACATTTTACAAATAAAATTTTAACTGTTTTTTTGAAATATTTACGTATTTATTCATCCAAAACGTGTTCTTCTAAGGAAATGAATCCCGGTTTAGCATGTTGCTCTAGAATATTTTAGATGCCAGAGGTAAGAATTTGTGTTATTATGGCAGATGATTAAAAGAATTTTCCAATCGACTCATTTGAGCTTAATAGGGAATGAATAAATTTGTTGATTTTTTTTTTAATTTATAGGTGTTTTAGACTATTCAACCATCTGGGTCATATTCGCCCTATATTACAATTGGATCAACTTCTACATATGCAGACATAACAAAACTACAGCTAACAAATACAATTTAAAGTTTAGAAAGTTAAACATATTTACACTTGAATATGGTGATACAATTGAATTGAAGTTATAAGAATTAAAAGTTAATGATTAAAATAAGGCACGTTAACAGAGACAAATAAAATAAAGGTTAATCATTTCAAGAATAAAAGATAAAAATACGTTTTAAAAACTAAAAGAAGAAAAGTTAAAAAGTTAAATTTAAATATTAAAAATTTAAATTAGAAAAGTTCAACGCTCCTTACTTTGTCACAAATAAAATCATACATAAAGACCTTAATGTTCCATATGTTTCCGATTTGGCCCAATCCAGATACCTATCCTTCCATAACAAACTCCAGAACCATCCGGACACTCTCGTTTCAAATCTTGCTTCCTCCTCGATCTCTGATAACCCTCCGAGGCGTCTGAAAATAAGGTGGCCTCGTAATCTTCTTGTGTAAATTTATTATTTGAGTGCTATCAGTGTGTAGTTTCTCAACAAGCGATTTAAGGTTATATTCCTGAGGGCACATTTACTAGTTGTATTTTTTTTATAATACAGTTGTAAATATCAATGAATGAAAAAAAAAAATAGGAAAGTTGACAAAAATCATTAAAATTAAAAATTAAACATTAAAAGAAGAAAAATTAACAGGTATATTTCCAATTAGAAGAAGAACCTACAAATTTAAAAAAACTTAACAGGTATATTTATAATTACAAATGAACAGTTTAAAGGGACAATTTATATTTAAATGTTTCATTTTAATTTTTTTTTTTTTTTTTTGTAGATATAGTGTGAATGTCATCCTACCTCACTATAACCAATGTTCAAGAGACAGATTGTTGTAATACTCAATAAAGAAATAAAATAAAAAAAAAAATGTTAAAATCACAAAAAGAAGAGATAACACATACATGGTTTATGGCTTGGTTATTGATATTATAAAGTGGTACAGGTTCATTTTTTTATGAGTTTATAAAAAATTGGCTTTCAAGTCAATTTTGTGAAATATTTTGATGTCCTTAAGGAACGATATTAAGTTTTTAATAGTATTGGTGTCCTTTTGGAGTGATTCTTCAAGGATATTTCTGAAAAAATGTTGGCCCCTAAGAGATAGGAATGCATAACATTCAGTCAAGATATAGCTCACTGTGAGAATTACCCCGCAGGAAATACATTGAGTTGGAGAATCTTTCTTCATTAAATACTTGTGGGTAAACCTAGTATGTTCGATCCTTAGGCGGTTCAGTACCACTTCTTCCCTTCTGGTCAGCAGGATATTTGGAGTGACGCTCCGGACGCATGGCTTCACTACTCTTAGCTTATTTTCTTTTGTGGCAGACCAAGATCTTTGCCACCCCAACCATGATTTTTTGTTTTAATAAAGAGACTACTTGAGAAGGTCGAGTGGTGATGATTAGTTGATCCTCTTTGATAGCTCTCTTGGCCATACTATCTGCCATCTCATTGCCTTTGATCTCGACATAACTTGGTAACCATGAACATTTCATCATGCATCCAGCCATCTCTAATGTTTTAAGATTAGTTAAGGTATCCACTACTAACCAGTATTGAAAAAAGAGGCCCTGTATCGATATGAGGGCAGATTTTGAATCCGAACAAATCACCTTTCTTGTGTAGCGTCAATGGATTTTACGGCGCGGTTTAAAGTGTATCGCTCAGCCTCATACATTGTACAATTATTTTCCATCACCACAGCAGTGCCTACTCCTCCTTTGCTTTCAGACCCGTCGGTATAAATAAATGTTCATTCCTGATGGGCGTTTTTGAAGCGATTAAAATCTGTTAATGGTATAATTGGCAAATTGCCTATTAATTTGATTTGATTTTGTTAAGTTTAGGGATGGGGAGTAACCAGGGTTCTATTTTTGAATTTTCGATTTTTGGGATGGATAGGAATGTTAGTTCGGTTCAAGTGAGTGAGATAAGGCTTTCTGAGAACGATGGACGGTATGTTTTATGATTTTGATATAAGATTGCATTTTTAGAAAACCGATGATTCAGAGGATCCAGGGGGCAAAAAATTAATTTAATGAAGTAGAAAAGAGAAAGTGCCTTTCTTTTCAAATTCAAAGGCATAACTTCTGCTTCCAAGTGTAGGTTTACTTTTGGACTAGAGCGAAAAACACTTAAGGCGAGAAACACCGGAGTGCGGTGTTTTGTATGGGATCTAATATTTTTTTTGGCATTTTCACTGGCTGAATTGTAAACTATTAGTGTTGCCCAAAATCGTTGCAAGACCAAGACCAGGTAAAAAGGACTGGAAAATTAAGGCAAAGTAGTTACTAATACTTGATAATCTTGGTTACTATATGTTAATAATTGGTATAACCAATATACTTTTGCATTTAACTCCTAAAATTTTTCATTATGGCTTAATTACGTTTCTCATATTTAAAAAATTACAGTAATATCTCTATAGTAATAAGCTAATAAGTAACTGCAAGACTATGGCGTGACTCTTACACAAGACCAAGACCACGATCAAGACTGAGTTTGCAAGACCAAGACTCGTCTCGGTCTCGCATTTGGGCAACACTATAAACTATACTACTATAATCAAGTTTACTTAAGACGAGGCTTCGCTATGTCATAAGTATGCTTGTTTTGCCAACTCCACAGGAATGGCAGCTGACCGTTCTTAACAAATTAAGTGACTGCAGGCATTCACTTTTTATTATTTTATATAAGTTGCCCATGTCAGTTGTTTATCAAATACTATTCTCGGATACTTAATGCTTTGAGAATATTCTATTGACTCTCCGTTAATTTTAATATTGTTTACATTGGAATTTCTGTGTCTCGTGAATAATATTGCATGGTACTTCTTTTTGGATACCACAAGACCCTTATTTGCTAACCACGTAATGACTTTGTTAACAGTGTTCTGTATAGAGCTGTGAATGTAGGACAGATTTTTCCCACTTGGGTGTATTACTAAGACATCTACGTAAAGTAAAATTTTTACTAAAAATTTAACTTCTTCAGCAAATTTATTTATAACTCGGAGGACATTGCTATACCACACTTAATTTTAAATTTACGATTATTTAGAAAATTGTTGATGAATTTTAAGATTTCCTCATTTAAATAATGCTCTAATATAATTGCTTCTCACGGAATTAAAGGCGTTTTCGATGTCTAATAATATTGCAAGCATGTGATTTTTGGAATTTCTTGTATTTAATATTTCTGTTTCTAATTTTGGAATATTGTCCACAGTACTGCGACCAGCACGAAATTTACTTTGCCAGACATTCAATATATTTGTACTTAGACAGAGATAGAGATACCATTTTGGACTAAGGGCAACCATTTTTTTCAAAATGTTTACATAGATTTGTTGAATTGAGTTCAAGTCAGAAGGACCATGAAAGCTACTCAAATCGAGTGAGCATAAATGTGAAAATAAGTCTAATATTTCTATTATACATTTTGAGTTTATATTAATTTTATTTTCCATTTCATGTATGTTAGTTAAAAATTATCAACTTATGGTGCCAACTTCAATCAGAAGATACATTATCAGCGATGATATTAAATTTTAAACTCTTAAAATACATTAAGCGCTCATGAGTAATTTCATTGGTTAGGGACGACTAACAGAGTTCTTTATGTTTTTTGTTACTAAAATTGTTTGCTCTATAGTAATTTTACTTTATTTTCCGAGAAGCCTTTGCGTGTAAAATAAGTTTTAAGTTGTGGCCTTAAAACGAAGTTTTGATATAGAAATGTAGAGGAAATCGCAGATGATATTTACCAGGTATGGAGAGACATTGTGCTTGATCAGCTGTATTACTTTTAAAGGACTTCTTCATCATTCTTATTTATGATATATTGAAAATAATTTATTTGACTATTTGTTCTTTTTAATCAAAAAATTTAATCGTAGTGAAAATATTCATTAATATTTATTTACCTATGATCGGTTTTCTCATTAATATTTTCTTTAGTTTAAATTGCCCAAATCTAAAAGTATTTATAATTTTTAAATAATATACCGCATGTAAGTGATAAATATTTTTCTAGTGTGTGGCGAGTTTATGTATAGTAGAATATTATAGAAATTTATTGTAAACGTAAATAAACTACAAGAAAAAAAATTTCAATTTTCAATGAAGATATTGTCTGTAATGAAGATACGAAGTGCAAAAATATTGAACAATTTTTTTTTATTTTTTTTTATTAACGAAATTTACAACTGTGATTAATAATAAATACAACAAGTAAATATGAACAAGTAATATGACATGTACAACATGAGGAGAAACTACCCATTGGTAGCACTCCAATTATATTTCTATATTAGAAGATCCCGAGGCCATCTTCTTTTTAGACGCCTCGGAGGGTTATCAGGAATAGAAGAGGAAGCAAGGTTGGAAACGAGAGGGTTCGGATGGTTCAGAAGTTTATTATGAAAGGACAGGTATCTGGATTGAGCTAAATCGGAAACATATGGTACATTAAGGTCATTATGGATGATTTTATTTGTGACAAAGTAGGGAGCATTAAGGATTTTACGAAGGATTTTGGATTGTAGGGATTGGATACGAGAGGAATTTGATATTGAACAATTTATTTCCCGTTAGTGGGCCCTCGATATCACCATTTCTTCAGGATACTAAGATATAAGATTTAGCACAGGACTGTTAGTAAAAAACATTAAATCTAGGCCCTTAAAAAAAATATGAATAAATGACAAATTTCTGTATCATATTTAGCGGTTCTTTCGAACTTTCCCTCTTTGTGCAATAATGGTTCTGTTGTATACATTCTTAGGCTTCAGATAAATGGAAGCATGTAATACTTTCGTAGAATTTTCTCTATATTTTTTTTCGGGTTTATAATGTTTCTCCAAGACTTTTACTTTCTAATCAGGGCTTCGATGAAATTCTAGCTAAATATAAATCTGACTTTAATGATAAGCTTTCTTGTTATTTAGAAGATGGCTTAAAGTTTTTGAGCTTATATCATATGTAAGTCATTATTTTTTCCTAATACATTTTTACGCCTAGAATATTGGCCTTGGTAGAGGACTTTCGTTACTATTATATTTCAATAATATTTTTAACATATTTACAATATTTATAGTACAGACATGTACTATTATAACATAATATAATATGTTATAACCGGATAATCCTTTTTTATGACATATAGTTTTAAGCATGACAGAATCAAAGGTAATCACATTATTTGAAGAGTAGGAAAAATATAACGATACAATTCAAGCAGAAATAGAATATTAATTTACAACTAGATGTAGATTTATTTTGGGGTATATCGGTCGAGAAACGTGTCATTGTGATTGCCAATATAAAGGGTTTTCAGAATCCAAGGTTTTTTCAAAATCTGATTTGGATTGTGTTCGAACGAATTGTATTACGGCAAGATTTAGTACGTGGTATATTTTTGAAATTTTTTTGTGGCATGGATAGTTGATGATCCTTATACATAGATTTTGATTGACCTAAATTTTTTTTTGTGATTTCTTTTGTACCTCATTTGTTTTCAGGGGGCGAGGGCGGGGAATTTAAAAGAACTCCAAGGCATGGGGACCCGAACTGTTAATTTTATTGTCTCCAACTTTTGGTTATCTGGTTGCCAGGCAACTCGCGGTGCTATGCACACACGCAAGCCCGTTCGGCCACTCCACCCCTGGATATGGGTTATTGTTTCACAAGATTCAATTATCCTTCTTCGTAATGAATTAAGGTCATTGACTTGACCTTCATAGACTTTTTCTTTAATGTCATCCCTAACGAAAAAATCCAGTGGTGTCTGGTCTGGAGAGCGTGCAGGCCAAACCACTGGTCCTGCACGGCCAATCCATTGATTGGGATATGAGATATGATTGAGCAAGTCCGGTCAATGACCTTCATTCTTTACGAAGAAGGCTAATTGAATCTTGTGAAACAATAACACATATCCAGTGCCGTGCTGCCATTGCTGCTGTTGAAAAAAGATGGCGAGCCTATCTTTATGCTCACTTTGAACAAGTGGAAATCACATTGAACAACATTTAATATGAATGTTAATGTTTACATTTAAATAGTAAAGTAGTTAGAACAAATAAATAGTTATTATGTATTTCATATAACGTAAGCAATTCATAACAACGAAAATCTTTAGGTGTGAATATCTTCTAAACAAAGCGTTTGCGGACATACCTTCAGAGGAAATTTTTTTCTTGTTTTGAGATCCTTAGTTCATTATTGTAGTTTGGAGATTTAATCCTGAAACCCCCTACATATATACATCCACCCCGACTCTCCTAAACCAGGATCCGCATGGATGACCCAGGATATCCTCTTCCAGAGAGCCAAACTCACCAACAATACGCTAGATAGACCTGGAAACGTAAATATCGTGTATTCTTCTAAGTCGATATTGTTCATAATCATGTATCGTTTGAACAATTAATAAAAACATTTAGTGCAAGGTAGCAGAAATGTTACTTCATTTTAATATTTCAAAATAAAATATATGAAAATAACTGGTTCTCTCAAGATTTGAACTAAATAACGAAGAGTTTAAGTTTTGGAGATTGAGAATGTAGATACCTGCTTAGTCTTGAAAATAATATTAATAACAATATTTGAGCTTTTAACAGTAGTGACTATTTTCCAATAACTCCACTTCTGAAAAATAAAAATGAGGTTGCACTAATGTTATAACATATATAAATTTTATACTAATTAAATTGTAGATGACAGCCCGACGTTTCCGACTACTCCAGCACTTACTAGACAAACGCTCTAAACTGCCAACTATTTACAAAAGACTCATATATATTACTATAATAAGGCCTATTTCGACTTACGGGATCGAGCTTTGGGGCTTTACTAAACCATCAAATTCCTCTCGTATCCAATCCCTACAATCCAAAATTCTTCGTAAAATCCTTAATGCTCCCTACTTTGTCACAAATAAAATCATCAATAATGACCTTAATGTACCATATGTTTCCGATTTAGCTCAATCCAGATACCTGTCCTTTCATTATAATCTTCTGAACCATCCAAACCCTCTCGTTTCCAACCTTGCTTCCTCTTCTGTTCCTGATAACCCTCCGAGGCGTCTGAAAAGAAGATGGCCTCGGGACCTTCTAATATAGAAATATAATTGGAGTGCTACCAATGGGTAGTTTCTCTTCATGTTGTACATGTCATATTACTTGTTCATATATACTTGTTGTATTTATTATTAATTACAGTTGTAAATTTCGTTAATAAAAATTAAAAAAAAAAAAAATTGTAGATGATTTCTTCCTAATTCAGTTAAAAGAAGCTTAGCTGTTTAACGTTACTCCAAAATATTCTTAGTATTTTTCGAAAGTAGAATAAACCCCACAGTAATAAATATGATTGAATCATTTTTTGAAACTGATAAGTCTATAGCATAAAAGCTTCATATGTATATATAAAATTCAAGCCCGTCCCCCAAAAATTAGATCCTGGATCCTCTAGTGATTGGGAAATTGCATTTGATAAGTTTTATTACTTTTAGAGGCACCTGGTTCATTACCAAATATGATGACAAATTTTGATGGCCAGATATTTATTACAATACATAAATTACTTATTAATTTCGTTTGTGATAAAGATGATTATATATTAGCGACTATAAAGTGAGGCATGCTGTATGTATCTTTTTTTTTTTTTTTTTTTTTTTTTTTTTTTTTTTTTTATGAATTGTTGAATCAATTTTAAAATAAGGAAAGATTGACTCAAAACGCTATTCCTCATGGGAATAAATGATGATTCCTGTTAATGTTGAATAGACCCTTTTGGTATTTCTTGGATGGAAATGGTGATTTGATAAGAAGTAGGTGTGAGGTGGAGGGGAGATGGTATATAAGGCGGCTCAGGGCAAGATGTCCCGAGAAAGATGTGGATTGCCGTGCTTGTGGCTGCGGCAGGGCTTCTCTCGCTCCCAGCCCACGGCTCTGTCGACTCCGGTAAGTCCTTATGTAATAATTATTTCTTCGCATCACAGGCCGGGCCTACGGGGAGGGGGCTTTCGGGTTGAAGCCCCTCTCCAAAATGGTAAAGAGATCTTGTCTTATAAAAATAAGTATGATTATTCGTGTAATTACATGTAAGAGGACTTCAAGAATTATTTAAACACTATTTCATATAGACAGTCAGTCTCTTTCTTTTTCTTCCTATGTAATTATCGTTTTATATATATGAGCCTCCTCCCCCCCCCCCAAAAAAAAAAAATCTTGGATTCGCTTTTTCCGCGCATTAATACTCCCGTGGAATATAACTCCAGCTCTTTTTTTTTTTTTTAATTCCTTTTGTTTATTTGGAAATTTAACTGACTTTTTAAATCAACAAAAAGAAGATTCATACAACATGCCTCACTTTATAGTCTCTAATATAAAATCATCTTTTTCACAAACGAAATCAATCAGTAATTTATTTATTGTAATAAACAACTGGCCATCAAGATTTGTCTTCATATTTGGTAATGAATCAGTTAGGTGCTTCTAAAAGTAAAGAGACTTGTCAAATACAATTTCTCTATATTTTCAATTGTATTTATTATCAGCCAGTTTACACCAATTTTCAAAATTTTGTCAACTTAATGACTGCACATCTGATTACGACGTTTCGGCTCGTTGAGCCATTTTCAAATCTAAAAATTTTTTACAATTTACAGTCATATTTAAAACATTACATACTTCAACATATAGAGATTCTTTTTATATACCTAAAACACTATTTCATATAGATAGTTATTTTCTTTTTCTTCCTATATAATTATCGTTATATATATATATATATATATATATATATATATATATATATGAGCCTCCCTCCCCTCCCAAAAAAAATTAAATCTTGGATTCGCTTTTTCCGAACATTAATACTCCCGTTGAATATAATCTCCAGCTTTTTTTTTTTTTTTTTTGTTAGTTCCTTATGTTTATTTCGAAATTTAACTGACTTTTTAAATCAACAAAAAGAAGATACATGCAACATGCCTAACTTAATAGTCTCTAATATAAAATCATCTTTTTCACAAACGAAATCAATCAGTAATTTATTTATTGTAATGAACAACTGGCCATCAAGATTTGTCATCGTATTTGGTAATGAATCAGTTAGGTGCCACTAAAAGTAATGAGACTTGTCAAATACAATTTCTCTATATTTTCAAGTTTATTTATTATCAGCCATTTTACACCAGTTTTCAAAATTTTGTCAACTTAATGACTGCACATCTGATTACGACGTTTCGGCTCGTTGAGCCATTTTCAAGTCTAAAAATTTTTTTACAATTTACAGTCACATTTAAAACATTACATACATCAACATATAGAGATTCTTTTTATATACCTAAAATACCAATCATGTACCTGTCCTTTTCAACTTATGCGTATTCCATGCGTCTACTCATATAAATTTTTTTTTTATTTTTGTCATGTCCACCTTTAATTATTTTATAACATTATTATTACTCAATTATTTATTATTAAATGATTCAAATAAGTTAAAATTACCTTATAATGTGTCACCGACATCTCATCAGCCTCATTTCAGTTTCGTGACTGGTTATTCTTAAAGGAGTAGGGGAAGGCTATTTATTTTAAACATATACAATGATGTTTCCCAATATTATATATGGACTTGTTCTTCTCTATAACCAGCGGATCCAGGATCTAATTTTTGGGGGAGGGGCTTCAGCTCCAATTTATATATATATATATATATATATATATATATATATATATATATATATATATATATATATATAATTTTAAATCATTTGAGTTTTACTTTTTCGAGAAATGATCAGAATAAGAACATTCAGTCAAAAATTAAAATAAAAACCAGAGCTTGAAACGAAACATTAATAACTTACATTTTTGGTCAGTTTCTGTATGACTGCAAATCGCTGGAAAATCCAAAGAGGGGAATTCCATTGCTTCTGACAGTGATATGAGCTAAATAATTAAACAATCAAAATATATATATATTCTTGTTAAATTATGACGTTTATAAATCTAATAAATGTATATATGCACAGTGTTAAAAAAAATAAATATATTCTCCTATAACCATTATTATTGCTGTAATTATTGGTTTTTATTTTATTTATTTATTTCCTTTTTGTACCGGCCTTCAATGACCACATAAATATCATTTTATGTAGTGTCTTTCAATTTTGTCCAGAATAATTGCCGTTATAATTTAAAAAAAAAAAAAAATTTCCTTTTGTTTATTTCTCATTTCAACATGAGTTCGGAAATAAAATAGTATAATAATTCTTTTATGATTTAAAAATCATCTGAGTTTCAGTTTTAAAATTGAAAAATGTTCAATATTGTACATTCGGTAAACAATTTATATAAAAACCAGAGCTTTTATTTTTAATCAGTTTCGGTATGACTTGAAACCACACGCTGAATTTACGGGAAGGTGAGGGAGACTAAAAAATATTTTATATAAAGAAGAGAAAAATACAATGTCGAATTTATGACATTTAAGTTGAAACTTTTTTTTTTTAATGGGACCTTCGCTTATTTCGATCAGCTACTAACAAAACACTATAAATCATGGCTTTCCAATCTTATGCAAATATAATTTATAATTTATTATAATTTGATCTATATAAGCATCGCAATGAATCGTCTGGACAAGGCAGAAATTTGAATGTATAAAAGGTATGTAGTCTTTAGTTATTTAAATGATGGCATGTGTGCGTTAGTTTGTCCATATATGTGTATCACTGATAGTCAGGGATCTTTGCAATAGCAATAAGAAGTGTATAGTTAGCAAATGGTTTATATCAGGGCTTGTAACTTTTATGTATTTTTTTTTTTAATTTTCCATTTTAACACTTTCTTCTGTTCATTTTTCCTACTATTGGTGTCATGAAGTTTTTTATTTTTACAATAATTTAGGCCATTTATCACCAACATTTTATTATTACGCATTAATTTGACGTTTCGACCATTTCTGGAGGGAATGTAGTCTTCACTGTTGACTACAGTCCCTCCAGAAATGACGTGGGCGAAGCCCCTATATAATATGACAAGTTAATGTTCACTGAACATATTAAATACAACATTAATGATGAACATATTAGGAGGACTCATCAAGTTTTGAAAATGACCCTTAGTATGGTCGAAACGTCAAATTAATGCGTAATAATAAAATGTTGGTGAAAAATGGCCTAAATTATTGTAAAAATAAATAAAATAAATAAAAAATTTAACACTTTCTGTGAAACATATGGAAAATTAAATTGACTAAATGTTCTAAGGAACTATTTTGTAATAAAATTCTTGATTTATAGTAGAAGTTTGACTTTTATTTATATAAATTCTTTTAAAAAAACATCTCTTAAAAACGTGAATTAAGATTCAGTAATAGAAAATGAAACTTTTTTATTTTTTATTAGTTTCGAAATGACTGGAAACCACTGAGGGGAGGGGAGGAAATATATTTTTTCTTCTATTTGTTTCTGTGAGCGATCTGAGATAAATATGTATAACTATAACAATATTTATGTATGCATGGGCGGGGTGGCCGAATGGGCTAACGCCTGTGCACAGCACCGCCGTTGCCCGGCAACCTGATTTATCAATCAATTGATATACAAATAGTCACGAGTTCGCTCCCGGTGCCGAGGGACTTTTAAAAATCCCGCCCACACTCCCTGGCCCTGGAAAACCCCGTATAGCCTTAACGGCGAGGACTCCTCCCCCCCCCCTCCAAAAAAAATAGTAAATATAGCAACCAGGATATGTACTATTTTTAAATCATGACGTATATAAAGAACTAAAAATGAGTACCATGTCAAGATAAAATATATTAAAAATTTATTCCTAAAAGAATTATTATTCCTGTAATTTATGGTTTTTTTTTTCATAAGCCTTCAAGGACCACTTAAACATTACTTTGTATAGCTTCTTTCATTTTCTTCCAAAGTAATTACCGCTATAATTTATAAAAATAAAATAAAACAGCACATTAAAAAAAAAAAAATAAATAAAAAATATAGAAAATTAAATCCGCTACTGCTGGCAATTTTATTTTCAATTTCCTTTTCTTCATTTATTTCGTTACTAGAATTCTTTCCTTTGTAACTTTTCAAGTAAAGATTTTACAGAACATTTATATAAAGAACAAAAACACTTTTATTTTAAACTTTTGTTTAAGTAAAAGTCAGTCTAAAAAATGTTAGTTGAGTATATTCTTAACTACTTGAAAAAGGGGCACATAGGAATCGAGTAGTTCACTTTAAAAAAAAATTATATTTGTGATCTAAGCTAAATTAATGTTTCTCATTTAATCAACTTTTTTTTTTAATTGTTTTTTATTTATTTAAAGAATGAAAATAAATAAAAGTTAAACTTGTACCATTAAAGCAAGAAGTTTATTGCAAAATAGTTCTTTAGAGTTGTTTAACTTTTTTTTCATAAAAAAAAAAAAAAAATCACTGAAAATGTTAAGAGGTATTTTGACTTCACGAAAAAGGTCCATAAAAGTTTCAACTGCTGATTCCAACAGTTTTTAACTATTCACGCCTTATTGCTATTCAAAGTGTCCTTATTATCAGAGATACACATAGACGAATAAATAAACGCACGCTTATGATAATTTAAATTACTATTTAGGTGTATAAATGTAAAACTTGAGAATGTTCTTTAACCGATGTATGCATTTGCGCAAAACAAATAAAGACGATATACCTTTTTTACATGTTTAATTTTTTTTCCTGGTCTAACGATTTCTTGAGAGGATTATTAGATCAAGTTCTTCTTCTTCTTCCTTCGGCGCTATTCCTTTAGGAGGCTTCCTTGGCCTCCTCCACAATTTTCCTCTACTCAGACTGATCCTCTTGCAGATCCAATACCGCTTCTCTCCACTATCACACACCCAGTGACCTCAGGTCTTCCTCTACATCTTCCGCACATCGTTGTCTAGTTCTGCCTCTTCCTCT